GCGGTGCGGCCGTGACCCCGCCCCGGCCTCGTGCGCCGGTGCCGGGACGCACCGGGACACACCGGGACTGCCCCCGGGACACACCGGGACTGCCCCCGGGACTCAGCGGGACACACCGAGACACACCGGGACACACCGGGACACACCGGGACTGCCCCCGGGACTCAGCGGGACACACCGGGACTGCCCCCGGACCCTCCGGGCTCCCCCGGAGCCGCCGGGCCATGAGCGCCCCGGAGCCGCCGGGCCGCGGGATGCTGTTCGCCGAGAGCCAGCTGAGGCGGCACGGCTGGCGCCGAGGTGGGGCCGGGCGGGGGTCCCCGCTCCGCGGTCCCGGCCTGTCCCGCCCCACCCTGGCCCCCCTGAGCACCCCCGGCTCCCCCCAGACTCCGATCCCCCCCAGATCCCCGGCTGCCCCCGTGCCCCTCCAAGCCCATCTTCCCCAGCTCCCTGCAGGCCCCAGCTACCCCCTCCTTGCTGCAGGACCCGGTCTGGGGTCTCTCCCCACCCCCGGGGTCCTGCAGCCCCGGTGCCCCCGGCCGTGCAGGGGTGACGGGTGCCTCGTGTGCAGGGCAGGGGCTGGGCAGGCGGGAGGACGGCATCGCCGAGGCCATCCGGGTGAAGGTGAAGTGCGACACGGCGGGGGTGAGTCCCGATCCCCCCCCGGCCCGGTGCCCGCTGCCCACCGCAGCCATTGCGGCAGCTCCTCTGCCCCCCGCAGGTGGGACACGACGCGGCGGAGCCCTTCACCTTCCACTGGTGGGACCACGTCTTCAACAAGGCGGCCGCCAACATCGCTGTGGAGGCCGGGCAGGTGGGAGGGCTGGGGACAGGGATGGGGTTGAAGGCAGGGGAGGGTGTTTGGGTTCCTTCGGTGACCCCTGTACTGCCACCGTATCCCCCCAGGCCCTGGGAGGAAGCAGCACCTCGCGCAGGGGCTGTGGTGGTGGAAAGGTGCTGCTGGAGGGGTGAAACCCCTTGGACTGATCATTTCCAAGCCTTTGCCTTTTCTCACCCAGGATGGCATCTCTGTGAAGGCACTTTCTGAGCAGGCAGGCAGCATCAGCAATAAGAAGCCACGCAAGGCTGGCAGCAGCGGGAGCCTGCTGTACGGCCGCTTTGTGAAGGTAACTGGCCCCAGGAGCCTGGGGGCTGCCTGGCCCCCAGCTCATTTCTGCTGTGGCCCCCAGAGCCCCGTTTTCCTTGCTCCCCTTCTTCACAGTCCCTGTGTCTCTGTGCTGCAGTCAGCCACGCTCACAGCCTGTGGGGAGGAGGCTGTGGCACTGCCCGCCAGCTCTGAGAGCAGTCAGGAGGAGGAGGAGGAGAAGCTGGACCTCTCTTCGGTCAGGAGGTGAGGCTGGGCCTATCCCTTGATGGGGAGGGATGAGGGCTGAACGGTGGAGCCCTGCTCCAGACCGTGTTCCCCCCACAGATGCTCTGGTGACACCTCCTGTCTGTGTCCCCAGGCTGACGGACGAGGAGCTGGTGCAGGCGTGCGGGGGCCGCACGGCACACAAGTGAGTGCCTGGGGGTCAGCTGGCCGGGCTGCCCCCTCCTTCCAGGCTGGGCTGGGGACCACCTTCCCTGCTGGGGAGGTGCCAGTCCTCGCTGCCTGTGGTCATTGCAGGGGTGCCCGTCACGGCCTGACCATGAGTGCCAAGCTGGCGCGCCTGGAGGAGCAGGAACGAGCCTTCCTGGCCGCATACCGGCAACGGGAGCAGCAGCAGGAGCCCCCGGAGAGCAGCCAGGGCAAAAAGAAGAAAAGGAAACAGTCCAGGGATGGAGCTGAGGTGCCACAGAGCCAGGAACCCAACACAGAACAGGAGGAGGTGTTGGAAGAAGAAAAGGTTGTGAAGAAGAAGAAAAAGAAGCAGGGGCCAAGCAGAGAAGAGGAGCTGACAGGAGAGGAAGAGGTCGTGAGGAAGAAGAAAAAGAAGAAGGTGATCACAGAGCTATGTGGAGAAGAGGTATCAGGAGAGGAGGGGAAGGTCATGAAGAGGAGGAAGAAACCAGAGCAAAGCACAGAAGAGGAGGTGGTGGAAGAGGATGGGAAGGCTGCAAAGAGGAGAAAGAAGAAAAAGAAGAAGAAGCAGGAAGAGGAGGACAAAGAAGAGCCAGCTGAAACAGACATACCTCTGCAAGAGACAGATGAGCCAAACTTGGGACACAGCCCTACAAAGAAGAGGAAGAAGAAGAAGAAGAGGAAGAAGGAGCCAGAATGAGCAAGTGACATGGCTGCCATACTGTGCACCTGCCAGTCCCACCTGGCTGTAAGGGTCCTGGTGCTGGTGGGTGCTGTGGGGTGCTCTGAGATTGTTCCAGATGGAGCCCAGCACTGTGGCCCAGCTGCCTGGGGATGCTGGGCTAGGACAAGTTGGTCTGGAGCTGGATCAAGCTTTACTTCACCACCTGAACCTTCAGGAGTGACCCTGGTTCCCCCCCAGGCCCTGGGGCAGGGACCCGTTTGCCATGGGCCTGTCACAGAAGAACACAAGGACACACCCTGCAGAGTACTGAACTATTTTTTTCAAGGGCATGAATAAATCTTTATTGTGATCAGATTATCCCAAAGTGTGAGTGGTGCCGTGAGTGGCAGAACCCCAGCTCACCTTTACACCTGAGCACTTGGATTAGGCAGCAGCCCCAAAGAGAGCTCCCCTGCAGCCCCTCACCACTCCCACCTGCTGGGCCTTTCCATCCTGCAGGCTCGCACCGAAGCCCAGTGAGGTGCTGAGCACCCTCCTAGCAGAGGCTTGGGCAGAATTTGGCCCTGGTGTGCAGTGCTGAAGCCAGGCCTGGCCCCCCAGCCCCTCTGGCCCCAGCTCTAGGTGAGCTGCAGGACGCAGTCTGTGCCGGGGTAAGCTGGCAGGTTCAGAGCGTATTTCTCCTGGAGCGCAGGCGGCACAAACCTGCCCCCAAGAAAGTGGTAGCGGCCGGTGAAATGCATCGCTGCCTTCTTGGGCGCCGTCAGGGAGATGAGCATGTCGGGCTGGAGGCCGTCTGCCTTCCCCTTCTCCACATCCCAGCCTGCAACAAGCCATGGCCAGGCTGGAGCTGGGACCACCCTGGCCGGGCACCTTCCTCCGGCAGGTGCGGCCACAACTCACCTGAGGGGATGTCGATGCTGGCGATGGGCACCGTGACGCGCTCCAGAGTGCTGAGGATGCTGCCAAAGGGCTCCCGCACTGCTCCCGTGAAGCTGAAGCCGAAAATGGCATCCACCACCAGGCCATAGAGCTCGTCAATGAACGCAGCCTGCGGCGGGGATGGTGGCAGGTGAAGGGCAGTCCCGGCCAAGCTCCAGGGGAAGGTGATGCCAAGCTGGGGGCTGCTCCTCACCTCAGCTGGGAACTCAGGGAGGAAGGGAATATCCATCTTATTGCACTGGGTGGTCAAACCTTCAAAGAGGGGCTTGCTGGGGCGCTTGGGGTAATACACAGTTGGCTGGTAGCCCTGCAAGAGCAGAAGGAGCCTGAACTAATCCCACTCTGGCACCAGCAGCAGCCAGAGGAATGGGACCCTGGAGCCCACAGGTACAGGGGGGCACAGGGACCAGCACCCTCACAGGGACCCTGTGGCTGCCTGTGCAAGACTCACAAACATCTTCAGGTGCCGGGCGCAGACCAGCCCATCACCGCCGTTGTTCCCTGGCCCACAGACCACCAGCACAGCAGGCTGGCTCGTGGTGAAGGAGCTGGGTGGGTAGGCCTATGGGGGGCAAGAGGCACAGCATTATGATGGGGGAGTGGGCCCACACCATGGGGCCAGGATTTGCAAGACCCCCAACTTGGGACTGGCATGCCCATGGGACCGGGATGATCCCCAGGATCACCATCTGCCTTCCTGGTGCCCACCTTGGTGGTAGCACAGCTTGGTACACAATGCTAGGACCCCCAGGGCCCCCAGCTTGTCGATGGTGGGGACAGCACTCAGCCTGTAGTGCTGGAACTCTCCCCCAAGACCTCCACCCACCTCCTGGGCACCCACCCTGGCAGTGCACAGCTCAGCCCACGATATCAGGACCCCCACCTTGCTGCTGGCAGTGGCACAGCTCAGCCCACAGTGCCAGGACCCCTTCTGCCCCCCAGGACCCCCACCTTGGCAATGGCAGTGGCACAGCTCAGCCCCGCCAGCTCCATCAGCTGATCCACGCTGAACTTGTACTCAGTGAAGAGCTCCTGGTCGATAGCCTGGGCCTCCTCCTGCCTAGAGTGGGAGACGGCAGCCCTGGGTACCCCAAAACGCGGCCAGGCCCAGCCTGGGGGCTGTGATCCCCTCGACTTTGCATGAGCCGGGTGGGGGAGACACACAGAGCTGAGCCCCCGTGTACATCTGCACGCATCCCGGTGTCCTGCCCGACCCCTCCGCACCCCTCAGCCCGCCCGTACCCCGTCCCGGTGCCCCCTCCGCCCCTGCGGACCGCCCGCCTGCTCTCCCGCCTCCCTCCGTCCCTACCCGAGGAAGCGGAGCCCCGTCGGGCCGGCCCCCGCGCTGGGGACGTGCATGGCGCGGCGGGGAAGGCACCGGCCCCGCTCCCGGCCCCAGCCCCAGCCGCGGTCCCGGCACCGCCCGCCCGCCCGCGCCGCCGCCACCAGCAGCCCCAGGCCCAGCAGCGCCCGCGGGCCCGGCATGCGGCGGGCACGGCCCGGTACAGCCCGGTACGGCCCCGGAGCGGGTACAGCCCGGTACGGCCCCGGAGCTCCACGGAGCAGGCGCGGGGCCGCCCCGGGGCGGAGCGCCCTTCACCGCCCGGCCAGGCCGGGGAGGAGCCGCGCAGAGGCCGCGGTGCTTTCCCGGCGCTCCGCCGCTCCCTCAGTCCCCGCCGGCACTCCGCGGTCCGTGCAGGCTCTGCCGGCGCTCCGCGGTCCCCCCAGCCCCTTCCATTTCCTCCCCAGGACCCCGACATACAAAGGATGGCAGAAACGGAGCTGGGTCAAAACCGTGTTGGCTCCACGGCCTGCCCCCCTCCCCTTCCTCCCCCCAGAAGCGGCGTTTCCCCGGTGTCCTCCTGCTCACACGAGGCTGCAGACGAGGGACAGAGTCCTGGTGCCCGTGCGGGGTCCCCGGCGGGACCAGCAGCCCGCAGCAGTGGCAGTGGGGTCATCGTCAAGGCTGCAAGGTCACGGAGGCATCACAGGGAGTGAGGGAGTCCAGCAGGATGCAAAATGGAATAATCAAATCACAGAGTCACAGACTGGTTTGGGTGGGAAGGGATCTTAAAGGCCATCTCACCCCACCCCCTGCCATGGGCACGGACACCTTCCACTGTCCCAGGTTGCTCCAAGCTCTGTCCAACCCGGCCTTGGACATTTCTAGGGATGGGGCAGCCACAGCTGCTCTGGGCAGCTCATGCCAGGGCCTCCCCACCCTCACCGCCAAGAATTCCTTCCCAATATCCTAGCTAACCCCGCCCTGTGGCAGTGGGAAGCCGTTCCCCCTTTTCTTGTCCCTTCAGGCCCTTGTCCCAAGTCCCTCTCCAGCTCTGTTGGAGCCCCTTTAAGCACTGGAAGGCAGGAGTGGGCAGGAGGTTCATACCAGGGTCCTGGAAACCACCCCTAGATCTGCTGCCCCATCCATAGGGCACGGTTTTGGTGTTGGCTATGAGGCACCAAAATCCCCAGCCCCTGTGACTTTTGGCTTGGGGTCGTGTCCATTCCAAGAAACAGCCCTGCTGGGGTCTCCACTCGTGAACCCTCCCCTCAGAGCCCAAACCTCCCTTGCCCACTCCCCCAAGCCATCACCTACCTCTCTGGAGGCCTTGGATGGAGGGTTTGGTGGTTTTGGTGCCCTGTGGGATGCAGTGTGAGACCCTCAGGCCTGGGCTCACTGGAGAAGCAATGTTCTGGTTGTCTGTGGTACTTACGGAGCTGGAGGCCAGCATAGGGCAGCTTGGCTGGGGGCAGGGGGCTGGTGGTCCTCATGCTGAGAGACAAGTGAACCTTGTGTGGGGGTTCTGGACAGCTCCCCTGTCACACTGTGACTGAACCCTCCCTAGGATCCAGCTGGAATGACCCCAGACGCAATCCCAGAATTATGTGTCTTTAAAAATCTCTGGATTTTCACCATTAAACAGGAGAGGTCCCTTGTGCTGCAGAGGTATTTGGGTGCCAGGGGCTGTACTGAGATGTCTCCCCCTTTCCCACCCACCTGTTAGCCTGGGGCTCACTGTGATACCCTGGAGCTGAGCTGGGACCATCGTCATCCTCCCCAGAGGTGCCCAGGAGGCCACTTGGGTTGCAAGGCTCCCACGTGAGACCACCAGTCAGGGCCACTCTTGTACCTCCAGGAAGGAAGGACAAACAGGCAAGAACACAGGCTGTGCCAAAGACTCAGCTCCATCAGGAGTTGAGTGGATGGCTCAACCCCACATTTAGTTTGCAGCCTCTCACCTGAATACCTGGGATGTGCTCCTGGGGTACGCCAGTACAGCTCGTCCTCAGCCTGGGCTTTCCCCCTGGAGGACATGGAGTGAAGGAAGGCTTGTCTCCTGTTTCATCTGGAAACACATTCCAGAGGAAGGAGAGAGAGGATGGCAGCTTTCTTACTCACACCTTGCTCCCCTGGAGCTGTGTCCTACTGGCACGGGGCACTGTGGAGCAAAACCGCAGCTGGCTGGGCTCCTGATGGGATTAACGTGTTAATCTGCCCAGCAAACTCAGGCACCTCTTGCCACAACCCCTACTGGGGTCCCAGTTCCCAGCCCTCCAGAGTGTGCCATGCCCTGGGAGATGCTCACCAGGGCTGGGCTGGGTGCCCAGCCCTCCTGGTAGGACAGGTGGCCGAGGTGGAGTCGGTGCTGGATGGCATCTGTGAGCTTGTGCACGACCCGTTTGTGGGCAGCTCTGGGGCTGTCCTGGGGTGGAGAGAACCCATATGTGTGATGGGCTAAGTGGGTGTGCCCCAGGGCTGAGGACAGTGCCTCACGATGCACGGGAGGGTCTGGCCCTGGGGATGCCCCATCATGCCTTACCTGACAGCGGGAAAGCAAAATCAGGGCCTCCTGATAGTGCCCGATGGCTTTCTGGGGGTCTCCCAAGTGGAAGCACGCTGCACCCAGCCCCTCGCACGCTTGCCACTGCCCCTGCAAGTCCCCTGGGAGGCAAAGGGCTGCGTTGGTCCCTGCACTGCTCAGCCGAGATCCCCGGCAGGCAGCATTACCCAGCTGAGTCCGCCTGGCTGCGGGATGCTGCCGGGGTGCCCGTGCCTCCCCTCACCCGAGTCCCGGAAGGCTTGCAGGGCGTGCAGGTAGCTCTCCGCGGCAGCCCCGTGCTTCCCGAGCTGGCTGCAGGCGTACGCCAGGTTCCCAAAGCTCTGCCCCTGAGCCCTGCGGTTCCCCAGAGCGCCTGGAATTGGGAACACAGGGCTCCATGCCGAGCTGGCACACCTGGCCAAGCCAAGAGGCAGAGACAGCGGTGCGAGTACCGTGCAGCGCGGCCGCACGCCGGTGCCAGCCCAGCGCGGGGCCGAAGCTGCGCAGGGCGTTGAGGGCAGCGCCCAGGTTCTGCAGCAGCGCAGCCTCCTGCTGCCGGTCCAGCTCCCCAGCGCACAGCCCCAGGGCCTGCTCGAAGCTCTCGGCAGCCAGGGAGAAGATGTGGAGCTGCGAGTAGCCGAGGCCGATGTCGTTGTAGAGTTTCCCTGGGGACAGAGAGGAAAAGCAGGCGTGGGAGCTGCTCCGCGGGGCCCTGAGAGTGGAGGGCGCGGCGCAGCGTTACCTCGCAGGGCCAGGTCGGGGATGGCCTCGCAGAGTGAGCGGCACCGGGCGAGCACCCCGGCGATCTCTGCCGCCCGGAACCGCCGGCTCTGCAGCATGGAGCCGCTCGCCCTGCTCAGAGCCACGGCCGCGGCCCCGGGGCTCTCCGCCGCCGCGTAGGCCTGTGCTGCATCCAGGAAACACCGCGCGGCCCGCGCCGGCTCCCGCATGCCCAGGTAGCAGCAGCCCATCTGCACGCAGGTCCCCGCTCGGCTGCCAGCCTCGGCAGCGCTGCCGTGGCCGGAGGCTTTCTCAAAACACTCCAGAGCCTTTGGAAAATCCTGGAGCCCTTCGTGAGCCGCCCCGACGCTGAAATAAAGGCTGCCCGAGTGGTCCCCGCTCTCCGCCTCTGAGGGTTGGGACTGGAGGAGGAACTCAAAGCCCTTCTTGGGCTTCCCAGTCTCCACGTAGGCAGCCCCCAGGTTGAAGGCACAAGCCCTGTGGAGCTGGGGGCTCACTGTGTCCCTGCAGAGGAGCAGGGCCTTCCTGAAGCACCCCACTGCCTCCTGCCCGGCGCCCAGGGCCAGTGCCCGGTGTCCGGCTCGTGTGAGGCCCTCGATCGCACCCACCCGCCCTGCCGCCTCATCCCCTCCCTCCTGAGCATCTGCCCTGGCCTCAGCCTTCTTCTTCTTCCGGCTCTTCTTGAAGCTGGCAGGGGCTGCGGGGGTGATGGTGATGGTGGGGGCAGAGGGGGCTGTGGGGTGTGTGGTGGCAGTGGGAGAAGAGGAGGCAGTGGGGTGTGTGGGGGCAGTGGGGGCAGAGGGGGCAGTGGGGTGTGTGGGGGCAGTGGGGGGTGTGGGGGCAGTGGGCTGCACTCCCAGGTCAGCAGCCTCTTCCAAATCCATGGGCAGGGGCAGCAGCCTGCCTGCAAGAGACAGAGGTGCTTAGCCAGCCAAGCCAGCACGGTCCAGGCAGTGAACACTTCAAACAAGCAGCATTATTTTATATTATTTATGGAAATTAGGGATGTCTTGTAGCCTGCTTGCTATTAAGTTTCAGGAAGGAAAAAGGCCTTTCCATGGAGGACCCCACAAGCCTTGGGGGCCACAAGAGAGGAAAGAGGTCACTGGGGGAGGAGGAGGGACACCACAGCATGGAGTGGGATGTTGCTGGGGTGCCTTTTTGGGAGGCAGAATAAGGAGTTGCACACACTTACTGTTTGCTCTTCAGGTGCAAAGGGTGCTGAGAGCAGGGAGCAGAGAGACAAGGCATCCCTGCCGCTGCAGGCACGGCTCTCTGCTGCAGGGATGGAGGATGTCTGAGGCGCCGCCGAGCTTGGGCTGCCTGGAAAGGTCCCTGGAGCAGGTCACAGCCCCTGGTGATGGACGGCCGGGTTCTGAGAGACGGGAGCGTGGCAGGCGGTGGCACAGGCTGGGACAAAGCCAGGCCTGTTCCTGGGAAAGCACATCCCACAATGGCCCCGCTGGCTCCGGTTTCATCCCTGTCACCAGGGTGGTGTGCAGTGCCATGGCAACTCACTGCAACAGTGCCAGTGTGAGCCCCGTGAGCGATAGATGGATGGGAAAACTGTGTGCTGGACAGGACAGCCATGTAATGGATGGCACAATTATCTCAACAGTTCGTGGCAGGTGCTGGGGGCTTGTTCCATGGGGGGCAGGTTCATGCTTTGGAGCAGGCTGATGGATGGGCTCAGAGCAGCGAGGGTACAGGGCACCCCAGGGCTGGGTGGCACGTCCTTGGTCTGGCACAGCGCTGAGCCCTCGACACGGCCGGTGGAGTCCTCCGGTCCTCGCCTGCCCCTGCACCCCAAGACCCCCCTGCAACCCGAGGCTCCCCTCGCTCTCTCGGTGTGTGTCACTTCCCACACCGCCGGTGCTCCCTGAGCTTCCCAGTGTGCGCCCCACGCTCTGCCTCCCTCGGTGTCCCGCGGTCCCAGTGCCGCCGCTCCGCGGTGCCCCGATGCTCCGGGGTCCCGCTGGCCCGGTGCCCCGAGGTGCCGGGGTCCCAGTGCCGCCACTCCCCGGTGCCCTGGGGTCCCTGTGTCCCGCCCCTCTGTCCCGGGGTCCCGCGGTGCCGGGGTCCCAGTGCCGCCACTCCCCGGTGCCCTGGGGTCCCTGTGTCCCGCCCCTCTGTCCCGGGGTCCCAGTGCCGCCACTCCCCGGTGCCCTGGGGTCCCTGTGTCCCGCGGTGCCGTGTCCCGCCCGGCAGCCCCCGCGCGGAGCCACGTGGGCGGCGGGAGATTCAAACCGCGGGCGGAGCCACCGGAGCCACCGCGGCCATGGAGGGAGCGGGGCCGGGGCGCTGTGAGTGACCGGCACCGGCACCGGGGGCTGCGGGCACGGCTGGGGGGCAGAAGGGTGAAGGGATGCAGCGGGACGGGAGGGGGACAAGTCTGGGGTGCAGCGAGCTGGGGGAGGACAGGTAAGGCTGGGGGGACAGGGGGTGTGAGGGGACAGGTAAGGCTGGGGGGACAGGGGGACGTGAAGGGGCAGGTGTGGGGTGCACAGCGGGACAGGGACCCTGGGTGTGCAGAGGGATGGGGGAGCGGTCAGATTTAGGGATGCAGGGGGTGGAGGGGGAGCAGGCAGTCTGCATGTGGGTAGAGGGATGGTGGTGGCAAGGTGCCAATCCTATGGGGACAAACTGGGGAAGGCATATTTTGAGGAATGGTTTTTTGGGAGGTGTGTTGGGTGCCTCCAGCACGAGCAGCAGTGTAAAAGGACCCCAAACCTGTGGCTGTGTTCCCCACCTCCTCCCCGGATGCTTGATCTGTGCCCTTCCCCACTCCAGTGCCAGCTCTGATGGCCGTTATTTGGAAAAAAGGGAAATTGGAAACTTTCCTCTTGCTGCCAGAAGGGCTGGGCTGGTGGCATGAACTGTGACGTTAGTGCCACTCCCACGAGGGCTGTGGGAGGCTACTGCACCCAAAGCCTGGCTCCCTTTCCCAAATCTTAGTTTCAGGAGCCATGGGGGCTTCAAAAAACCTCCCTGAGCAGGGGGCTCTGACGGGAGGCCCCCTTTCTGCCCAGGTGAGCGCCCGACTGCTGACGAGATGGACGAACAGAGGAGGCAGAATGTTGCCTACCAGTACCTGTGTCACCTGGAGGAAGCCAAGCGGTGGGGCTGCACTTGGGGAGATCCTCGAGCTCAGATTTGAGGGGAAAAGGGGTGTTAAGGGGAGGGACAGGGGAAGTGGGTGGGGAGTGGCTATAGTGCTGCAGAATGCTGCTGTGGCTTTATGGCTCCTCAAAGCTGGCTGGGGGGTTGTGTTTTTTGTAGGGGGACACTCAGCCCTACACCCAAACTGAAAACCACCCAGCAGCAATGCCTGAGGGCTGAGCTCCCCTGCCAGGGAGGATTTATTGGAATGGGGCTGGAGGGGGGAGATGTCCTTTGGGTGCTTTTCTCTGGGAGTCGGTGACATGCTCTGTCCCTGCCCTGCCAGCTGGATGGAGGCCTGTCTGGGTGAGGGGCTGCCGCCGCCCACGGAGCTGGAGGAGACCCTGCGCAATGGGGTTCTCCTGGCCAAGCTGGGCCACTGCTTTGCCCCTGCCATTGTCCCCCTGAAGAAGATCTACGACCCTGAACAGACACGGTACAAGGTAAGGCTGCGGCACCAGAGGGAAGGTGTAGTACCCTTTAGGGTGTAGCCCCAAACCTTCCCTTGCTGGTGAGTGCAGAGTGAGGAGGGACTTGGTGACAGCAGTCACTGAGGGACTGTTCTGTAGCAGGTGGCTGCAGTGGGGTCCCTGAGCTGGGGATCACAGGCATTGCCTCTGTCTTTGACCTCCTGCCTTGGCTGGGTTGCTCTGGGGGCAAGGGTGACCCCCAGGGATGGGAGAAAGTGGGGTTCAGCCTGACCTCAGCTCCTCTCTTCCAGACAGCTGGGCTTCACTTTCGGCACACGGATAACATCAACTACTGGCGTGATGCCATGAGCCACGTGGGGCTTCCCTCGGTAACACCTCCCCTCTGCTTTCCCCAGCCAAGGGACACACTGGCCTTTGCCTTGTGACAGTACTGGGGTGCTGGTATGGCAGGGGGGCTTTGTCTTTGCCCCCCACTCTCTGGCACCAGCGACCCTAGGGACCGTCTCAATACCATTGCCTCTGATGTGTCTCTGTCTTGGTGGCAGATCTTCCACCCAGAGACCACTGACATCTACGACAAGAAGAACATGCCCCGGGTGGTCTACTGCATCCATGCACTCAGGTGGGTGCCCTGGCCTGGCTCTCATGGAATGTGTTCATGCTCATGAGCCCTTTGGTGATGTCACCCATCAGCCTCGGGTGACACAGAAGCGTCAGGAGGGAGAAGCAGGTGATGTCACCATGTGGGTTTGTATTTCAGCTTCTACCTCTTCAAGCTGGGGCTGGCTCCTCCAATCCAGGACTTGTATGGGAAAGTGAACTTCACAGGTATGTGCAGGGAGACCTGGGCTGGACTTGCCAAGGGGGGTTTGCCACCGATGCTCTGGGGTCCCGTGGCATGAGGGGTGTGCAGAGTGAAAGTCTTGGATGCGTTTTGCCAAAGCAGCCTCAGGGATGCTCACCCCAGTGTGGGGTTTTTTTGCACCCCTCTTGGTGTGGCAGGGGAGTGGGAGCTCTGCTGCCTGCCCCTGCTCCAATACTGGGCTATGGGGCTGGTGCTGAGCAGTGCTGCCTCTGCTCTGCTCCAGAGGAGGAGATCAACAACATGAAGCGGGAGCTGGAGAAGTATGGGCTGCAGCTGCCTGCCTTCAGCAAGATTGGAGGCATTTTGGCCAACGAGCTCTCAGTGGATGAAGCAGCAGGTGATGGGTGCCTGGTGGGAAGCAGGGCTGGGTGTCAGCCCTTAGCAGGATCTTGGCTCAGCTGCTGAATGCCAAATTTGGAGCCAGCAAGCTGGGAGAGGGTGCCCTGGGAGGTGATGGTGGCCTGGGATGCAGTTGGAGGCACCTGGTTGTTCTTTTTCAGACCAGCACAAGGCTGCAGGTGCTGGCACAGCCATTGCTAGGCAGCAGCAACCTGAGTTCTGCATTCCCTGGGCTTGCTGTGAGACCTCCCAGGTGCTGGGGACTGCAGCTGGCCTTCTGAACAGGGCGGGTTCCCGCCTGTGGAATGTCTTGTCCCACTGCATGCAGGGATACAGCAGATGGTCCATCCTGCCCCTCCATGTCCCATCTCACCCCCTCCCTGCCTCACCCCCAGTCCACGCTGCGGTGCTGGCCATCAACGAGGCGGTGGAGCGGGGCGTGGTGGCGCAGACGATGGAGACCCTGCAGAACCCCCACGCCATGCTGGTGGGACTGCGCCAGGAGCTGGCAGGTGCCTACCAGGAGGTGCTGCACCAGGCCAAGCTGGAGAAGGGCAGCAATGCTAGAAACAGGGTGAGCAATGCACCACAGGGTGCTCTGGGGTGGCTGGGAGAGGAGCAGCCCCTTTGCTGATGGGCAGGTGGAGGGGGTCCCTTGGCCAGAGACCTACAGGGCTTGCTGGCTGAAATATGGCCTGGGAGCCCTTGTGCTGAGCAGAAGATGGGGAGATGATTCCTCTTTGGGGGCTAGTTCACCCAGAAATGAGCCCAGGCATCTGCAGGGGACCCCACTGTGCATGGTGGGGTGGGCTTGGGCAGAAAGCTCAAGCTGGGGAGTCCCTGTCCAGTACCCACAGGTGATCCCTGAAGGAGAGGA